GGAAATCAAGGTGACCTCCATGTACAAAAGATAAATGGTTTTTTTGTAGACAATCCATTTTTATTTTATTGAATTAACAATTTATTTTCATGATAAACAATCTATTTAATTTAAGAAACAATTTATATACGGTTGCAACCTTATAGAAGTAAGGTGCAGTAATTTACACCATCCATCTTATTTGGAAGGTGTAGATGTGCAACTATCTTAAAAGGTATGCCACTTTTGAAATGGTTTAAAAAAATATGCTAAATCTATATCGTTCGACTAAAATAGACAGTGCAGAGCATCACAACTTTATTTTTACAAGTAAGGTTGCTTGTTATACAAACTGCACCACTTAACTTAGCATATAAAGTAATAAAATTTAGATAAATTTACCCATATATCCGTTATAAATATTGTGATTGCAAAAGTTGCCCCTATTTTTTTATATATTACGTGTGTATGCCTCTTTTGGTTAATTTTTTTATGGAAAATTGTTTCATGCGGGCTGGACTGCATATCCACATGCAATCCAAAAAGTATAAAGCATCCATCTTAAAAATGGATGCAAGTAGGTGTTCCATCTAAAAACAAGGGTAGGTGTTCTATCTAAGAGCAATGGAAACTAATTGTCCAAATCTTTTCTTACTAAAATTATTATGTTTAGTTTTTAAAATTTATTTATTTATTCATATTCATGATTTCCACATTAGATATTACATGTCTTTAAAAGTTAAGCCTTAAAATCCATCTCAAAAATAGATTTATTAATATGCCCGTATTTCTACATATGCACGCTTGGCCATATAGAAACAGTGTCCTTTTTTATACCTTCACTCTGAATATGAAGTTACAAATGTCCTTAAGGATTTTGGATATTGAAAATCCAAGTTCACAATGACTTAGGATTTCCAGAAGAATGAGTTTTTAAGGCCCGGGTTTTTAAAAAAACAAAAAGTGAAGCTTCATTTTGAATTTTTACCTGGAAAGCACTTTGAGTATCAGAAATCTTCATGATAGCTCTAAAACCAATTTTCAACACCAATTATGAAATTTGAAGCTAAAAAAATGTACACATCTTGCGTATCCATGAACATTTATTTATAAAATGAAATAGACAATATGGAAAATGTGTTACAATATACATTATTTTTAGGGCTTGAAACTTTCTTTTTTTTTTCACAACTATTATTGTCAAAGTCGAGATGAGCAATCTGGAAGTTATTAAATGCTAGGACTACAATTTTCGTGAGTTTTGAGGCTAGGCTTCACAACTATTATGATCAAGCATTTTCCTTTCAAAAATCCTAACTTTGTTTATTTGTTTTTTTCTCTCTCCCCAAAAAATTGATTTTTTTAAAATCCATATATGACTTCGTGTATTGAACATCTAGAGTCATTTTGACTTCAAATTTTCAAATTTCTGAAGTCAAAGAGATTTTGAATTTTCAAATATGAAGTTAGAGAGGTTCTGATCAAATTCAAATTCACTTAGTTTTTTTTTTTTTTGACTTATTTTCTAAAATCCAGAGATGACTATGGATATTGAAAATCTGAAATCATCAACTAGCTTCATGACTCCAGGTTTTTTTTATCAAGGGATATGCATATAATATACAAAAAAGAAGACATTTTCATAGTTAGAATAAATTAATAATTATATGAGATGCAAGGGTATATTACTATAAGGGTGCAGTTTTTTATAAGGTTGCAACCTTAAAATTAAAGGGCACCTCCAAATTTTATCATAAGATGTAATTTTGGTGTAAAATATTTTTAGAAATATCTGAAAATCTATTTTCATATCTAATTATAAAAAAATTTAACTCCAAAAAATGGTTCAAATCAAGCAGATCTATAAACATATAAAAATCTTGAAAATGGATGGTCTAGATAATATGCTATAAGATACATTATTTCTAGGACTCAAAATCTTTTTGTTTTTTATATTCATACATTTCGATATCAAGATGATCAATTAGAAGATTGAAACCAATACTAAAACGACCTTTTTCGATGGATTTTTGAGGTGCATATGTATTTCTGCATTGTTGCTACCTTATAAAAACTTTTCCCTTACTATTTATCCTACAAAGTCATGAATAAAAAGACAAACACAATAATATCCTAATAAAACCCCCCAGTTTTACTAATTTTTCACGTTCTTAGGGCTTGAGACGAGTACTGATAATTGGACTTTACTCTCCCACGTGAGCGTCACCTCCAACATGTGCGCCTTTCTTTGCAACGAGGTCCCCGCTTTGTTTCTTATTACACATAAGCCTACGGACCAATGGAAACACTCCACGTGGCACGAGGTGATTAGTCTAGGTCGCCTTCCCGGGGTCCCTGGATGCTCCTCCCTCACCAGCACGTAAACTGTCGGCAACCCGCCATTCTCCGCCACGTGGCACTCAACCGATGGTCCCGATTGAGACACGTGGAAGTCAGACATTGGTCAGATCCCCCTCATCCCTGCCGCTTATAAATATAGCAGCTCCTAAGCCAGAGTGTCGGCAAACAAAATATAGAAATTTCTCTTCAAAAAAAAATAGAAAATAACTTGAATCCTCATTTTCTGCCATTTTTCTTCGTTTCTTCAAAAGAATAGAGAATTTGATCTTTGGAGGTGCTGGTTTTCCTCAGGAAGACGTTTATGTGAGATTGGTGGATTTTTCTCACAAGATTCGGCGGGTGGAATTCGCTGAATTTCCATTAAAATGAGGAGATTGAGCTTCAGCAGGAGTGGTTCAAAGAATGGGGAGATGAATGAGGGGTCGAAAGAGGGGAAAATAGAGTGGGAGATGAGGCCCGGGGGGATGTTGGTTCAGAAGCGGTGTGAAGTTCCCGACGGCTCTTTGGCCCCGACCGTGCGGCTGAGAGTCGCATATGGGGCTTTTCGATACGATATCTCTGCTGACCCACAATCGACATTTGGTAAAAATATGAGTCTGAGTCTGAGTCTGAGTCTCTTCGGGCTTTTTGTTATCTTGTTTTTAGAATGCTGGTTTTGATTTTGATTTTTTATTGGAAAAAAAGCTCTCTGTCTCTCTAAGAATAGAGTTATTCTTGCAATTTTTCAGGGGAACTGAAAAAGTTGCTTAGTAGTGAGACTGGACTACAACCAGGGGAAATGAGCATCAGTTTTAGGGGTAAAGAGAGAGAAAATGGAGATTATTTGGATAATTGTGGTGTGAAGGATCGTTCCAAAGTTGTGGTGATCGAGGACCCCACCAGTCGGGAACGAAAATTCTTCGAAATGAGGAAGAAAGAGAAGATCCAAAGCGCCCACAGAGCAATTTCAGATATTTCAATAGAGATTGACAAATTGTCTGAGCAGGTTAATTCATTTATTTGTTTTTATCATATTTTCTTCTGTTTTTAACCTCTTTTTTTCTCTTACTATCTCTTTCCTAATTTTTTTTTTTTATCCAAACATTTTTTAAGGTCTTAAATCACCACAAACAAAATTCAAGAAACAAGAAAGGCAACAAGAAGAATGAGAAGGGTAATATTTGTAATTTTTAAGTCAAAGTTTAAATGGCTGAAAGGTTCTCTGCTTTCATTGTTGGTGATAATTTACTGTGTGCTCAGTGCTCATAGTGAAATGACCAAAATACCCTTGCCTTGGATTCTACGAAACTCCCGCTTGAAAAGAAAAGACCACCAAAAAGGAATCGCGTCATAATAGGCTTTAATATTTGGGAAAAGTTTATATAAGGTTGGAACCTTAAAATGTAGAATCACATATGCACCTCAAAAATATATCGAAAATCTTGTTTTAATGTCAACGAAACACTCTAGTCGATCATCTCGACATCGAAATGTATGAATATGGAAAAAAAAAAGTTTTTGAATCTCGAAAATAATGCATCTTGCAAGAATTATCTAGCCCGTTCATTTTCATAATTTTAACTATTTTTGAAATTTAAAATTTTTTAATTAGATACGAAAATATATTTTAAGATAATACTAAGAATTTTTTAAAACAAAAGTACATGCTATGATAAATTTTTAAGGTGCACCTTAATAGGGTTGTTTACCGCACGCTAAAATATCTCTTTATCCCCTATTTTTAACTTCTATATATCACGAGACCCTTCGACCATAAATTTTTATCTAAACAAACATTAAAATAATACCTTATTCAAACTCTATCTCTCTAAACTCCATATCTCTCTTCGCTTCTTAGTGAGTTTACCGGCTAAGGGCTTCGCTTGAGCTTGAACACGAGCACACCTTCTTATGTGAGAGAGAGATAGAGTTTGGGTTTTAAAAAGAGATAGAGTTTTAGAGAGAGAGATGGAGTTTGAGTTTTAAGGAGAGAAAAACAATGGTGGGAGACAGAGATAGAGTTTTTGAGAGAGAATAGAGTCCTTTCATAATTGTTAAAGTCAATAATACATGGTCAAAAAAGGTTTGAGGTGGGAAAATAAAAAAATAAGTTTACCAATAATATTTTCAATTCTTGAGTCCAATGAGATATAAAAGTTAAAAATATGAGATAATATGATATTTTTCCTAATATTTAATCCTAAATTTTGCTATAAGAAATTTCCAATTATTTAGTTGGAACCATGATCGGCAAAACTCATTAACAAGGAGTTTTTTATTGGAAAATACTCTAATTTTTTAATAGCATCTTAATGTGTGATTTTTAAAATAGCTTTAGAAGCAAAGTATTTTGAAGAAATAAATATTGGTCTATTTTCTAATTAATTTTTTTTAAAAAATAACTTTCAAAGATGGACATGGCCCTAAACAATCAAATTAGCCTAAGCTACTCATAGCATATTGTGAAATGAGTATCAACATTGTTTAGTTTTTTTAGGGTCTGCTAGAAATTGAATGTAATGTCTCGTGTTGCTAATGTCAATTGCTAACTACTGAAGCACGAGCTCAATTCCTATTTAGTATTGATTCATTAATTTGTTGTTTACATTGTTAATTGAACAATTAACTGCCTCTCCTTGTGCATGTACACCCCATTTTTAAAAATTCCTGCAGTTCATTATTTCCTTTTTGCATTTCTCTTTTCTTGATATTTTTATTTCTAATTTTATTTTTTTTATTTTCTTTATTTTATTTTTTCTTTCTTTTCTTTGCAAATGCAGATTTCTAGCATTGAAAAATCAATAGCAAATGGTAAATCAGTGCTTGAGGTTCAAATCGCTACCTTAATTGAGTTGTTAATGAGGCAAGTTGTGAAGCTTGAGAGGATCCCCACTGAAGGAGAGGCCACCTCTCACAAGACAATCCAGGTCAGTTAAGTTAATTTGATTCTCTCTTTCCTCGGAGAAAACAAAGAAAAAAGATAAAAGTTTTCATTGCCTCTTAATTCAATGGATTGGTTTTCTTGAAATGCTTTTTTGTGGTATATGTTTGCTTAGGTCCACAATTTAATGATCCTCGGGCTTGAAATCCAAGTTACCCACACTAGGTCGAGGCCCACAATTTAGATGTGAGGCCCACATATGGTTTCCACCATCTAGATTTTTTAGGCTCAACACAACCACCAATAAAATAACGAAAAAGTTTATATAAGGATGCTACCTTATAATGTAGAACTACGGATACCCCTCAAAAATCCATCTGAAAAGGTAGTTTTAATGTTAAAAACCCTTTGATTGGTCATCGAGATGTATCATTATGAAAAAT